ACGAAATGGTGAACGAAATTCATTTATTTAACACAACATAAGTTTAACGCGGATTAAGAATAAGTAATTTTTTTCACAATACAATATATAGAGTATTCAAGTAAGAGTTATATTTTTACACTGCCCTGTCACATCGGTGTGAAGAGTGAGTCCCTTTATTAGAGCACACCTAGAATAGAACGTTTATCGCTATACTTGTGGTTCATGATGTCCTTCACTATAACTAACACTGTTACCGGCGTGGTTACCTGAGTAAGTGCTATTATGTATGCAGCACGTAGGTATATCTAGTATGTTTCATTCCTCATATCTACCCTTTATATCTTCCTTTATATCTATGTTTCATTACCATGAATGTTTTTAATTTTAAATTAAAGTTGTAACAGACCTATTTAAGTGTAATTGAACTATTTTATTCACGCCATGAACTCATGAACTGTAACCGAACTATTTTATTTAAACGCCATCTCGTGGCGATATGAAAAAACGTCAGTCGACCTCCAGCCGCCATGATGATAGCTTACTATGTTATGTTATTCTCAATGTTTGATGTTCCATTTCGTTTATGTTTCATTTTTATATATATTTCTTTTGTTTGTAACCGTTCCTGTGTGGTCTGTTAATAAATCCTTTTAAAGCTAGCCGGCATTAGTGTCTATTGAGGAACGGCTACATCACATTTGGCCCACGTTGGGCGCCAATGTGATGTAAAATTGTATGCTTATTTAAAATTTGCTTAAAGGCATAACGTTTTGGCGAAATTACGTAATTTTGTTTATTCCAACGAAATTTAATATTTATTAGAACTCTTATTACGGTAAAGCAACAGAGTATTACTGGTAAAGTGTAAAGTTTTTATTTACTTTAGCTATTGTAGAAAATTGTAACTGTAAAAAAAAAGGGCAGACAATCAATAAGAATAATAAATAATACACTTACTAACGAAACCCTAGCTACCCTCACAAAGCAGGAGCCCGTTCATAGTAGGCGCTCAATCCCGGAAGCGTAATGGCAAACCGCACATTGAGTTGATCAATGTTAACGAATTTCGCTTACTGCGCATGCTCAGTGGTGAATCGTTGGCGTGGGAGGAAATACTGGCAAATAAGGGGCATAAGCAACACTATACAAGCGTGTTAGTCATGTTGGTTTTACTGTTTTAAAAAATTGCAAATCTACGAAAAACATTTGTTGCGTGCTTATTGCATGTGCTTCTGTTTCATTTCACTTTGGTTTATTTTGTTCTTAAACATTACATTTAATGTCAGTTACTTGACTTATTCAAACTGGATTTATTCCTTAATTTGTGAAAATATATACGAATGGTATGTCTTGTATCATTTAGCTAATATATCTTGTAAAGTTTCCTGTTTTGTAATCCTTCTTACACGAAAATTTGCATAGTTTACGATCGACATTTTCACTCTAAGTAATGAAGCAATTTACAACCTAACAAGTTTTAAAACCTCGAACTGTATACGCCCAGATAACACAATATCAATCATATACCGTATCTAAAATACCGTAAATCTTCATCTAAAATTGCGCCAAAGTTGTAATTGCCCCAAATTCTATTCTGGGCATGCGCAGTAAGCGAAATTCTTTGAACATTTGATTAACTCAATGTGCGGTTTGCCATTACGCATCCCGGAACGACTGAAATTCCGTATACTCAAAATCCCGTTTCCTTTCTTCTCTTAGCTCATCCCTACTTTCACGTACCATACCTACAAATCTTGGACTCTTCCAGCAAACAATAGAATTCGTTCCGGGATTGAGCGCCTACTGATTTACTGTGAATCATCTAAACGTTGCCAAATAGTGAATCAACTAAACCAGCGGTTCTCAATCTTTTGACCGGCGCTTAGATGGTACATCTAAGCAAAAGTTGAAAATCTTTAGTATCACCACTACAAAGTGCTACTACCACCACCACTCTTGAGCAAAGCTCAGATCGCATAAATTTACGAGTGTTAGAGGAAAAAAACTCAATCAGGATGTTCGGGGTTTAATATTTGAATTTAAAATTTAAAAATACTTTGCTTCTTTGCGTACCACCTGTTCTTCTCTTGCGTACCACCGGTTGAGAACTCCTGAACTAAACAATCAAAATACCAAAACGAAACTCTGGGCAAACTGCCCCTATGGGCTACTAAAAATTCGCATACGAAAGGAAAATTCGAAGTAACAATAGAAAATTTGGCTAATCTTTGGAATATGGTAACAGGTAGTTTGGCGACATTTTGGTAAGGCGATAAAGGTTACTAGCTAGGACTTTAGCAATAATCCGAGAAGTACAGAGTTCGAATCACAGAATATTTTGTCTCAGAGAAATGAAAGATCATGAGACATGTTATGTGACATTTCCCGGAAAATTCCGATCGTGATTTTAGCTAATAAGTACTTAGAAACAATTTTGCTGCTAAAGTGCAGAATCGCCCACTTATTTTTTTGGCGCTTTTTACAAGAGTAAAGAGAATTGGATTTTTGTCAATTTTCTTTGACTTTTTAAGTGAAAATAAGTCGTGTACATAGATAAAGTCAAGAGTGTGCGCAATGCCATTTTTTTTTTTCAATTCTGGGATATTTTTTCAAAGTGAAAATAGATCGACGTGTACATGGATACCGTGTATGTGGAATTCTTAAAAACGCGGCAAGCAGTTTGAGATTCTGCACTTTCTCCCAATTTCGCACCTAATCTTCGTCATGATTAAGCATTTTTGTACCATAAAAGTTCTAGCATAAGCGTAATACGGCTAGCAGATTGTTGGAAAAAATGTTCAATAAAAAAAAAATAAATAAATAAATAAATAAAACATCTGAAATGTTTCAGATTTTAAATTACGTCCAAAGGGGCGTTTTTTAACATTTTGTGTGTTACCTTCTTTATTAAATATCGTGTTCCTCGCACTTAAACCATAAGATCCAGTGCAACAGCAATATCGCAAAATAGTTTTAAAACGAGCATATCTTTAGAATTCCGATACAGAGACTCACGCGCTGGAGATAAAAATGTTTTTTCTGCACAACGTTGCCATTGCTCGCTTTGAAATCCTTGAGTTTGTTAATCAAAAATTCGTCAAAGTTTTAAAAAATAGGAAAATATCGATCATAAAACAAATTTCAAATTTCAAATTTGGTCTTCCACATGCTCATATTCGTTGGAGGATTACGTTATTCCTTCGGGATTCAAATCCCTTTGGACTAAAAAAAAAAAAAAAAAAAACATGCCTTTACTTTGTGAAAACAGAATGGCGTCCAAGATACAACTAGTAGGTTGCTGTAGCAAGGTTGGTCGCCAAAGTTTCGCCAAAAAATCGCCAAGTTACCATAATGTAAAGATTCGCCGAAAATTTAAAGGCATTTTAATTTTTTTAAAGTTTATAATCAGTGATACATTATGTATAAGTCTAATGCATACAATATAAGTTAATAAATATAAAAATAATGAGCAATGAATAGAAGAAATAATGGTAGTACTCCGTTTCGGAAGGGGGGGGCGTTGGCGATGGCTAAATGTTTTTCGCAAAATCAAACACCAAACACAAAATAAGGCAAAAGTCTGAAGTCTAGATCCTAATCTTGAATCATTAATTTATTCAGGAGGCATAACATTTTTAATAGCTTCCAACATCGAAGAAGATATGCTAGTTTTCTATGCATTCATCGCCACGTAAACTCAGGGCAAGTACGATTCGAGGTATTGTCGTCTCGTTGGTCGTGCCATTTTGGGCCTTTCCCATACATGCTGTACCGTTTGGGTGTAACATCCACTTTCTGAATCGAAGTGAAATTCGCGTTCACAGCTGAATGTTCGAAGCTGGCATTTCGCAGTTCATCTGATTTATATGCCTTCCAAGATCCGTGTAAATAGCTGTTCCTTCCATAACATTTTCCTTAACAATAGCCAATACAGTTTGCTCGAATAGATCAGGAACTGCAACTGAAAGCATGCATTTGGCATACTCCACCAAAAACCAACTATTGTGGAAGAACTCGTCCAACGTGAAAAGGCAACGTTGTTCAACAACGAGCAACGTTGGGCACGTTGAGCAAGGCAACGTTGCTCAATGTTCGTCTATTTCGACAGCCTTGTCGTTTCCACTGATTTTCACTGTTGGTGGAGGAATTAAATCTGTTGTGGTAACCTTGTAGAGTCATTAGGATTTTTTTTTTTTTTTTTTTTTTTTTTTAGAGCAGAAAAGATAAACAATAGAATCCGGTCTTGATAACAAAATGTTACCAAAATTTCTATACATTATCATAGTAAAATTAAAACAGGTTGAAAAATTATTAGTCCAAAGGGGCTTTATCAAAGAAGGACTATTTTTTTCGTTTTGCGATTTTGCGTTGAATCACTAACAAAATGCGAATCACTTTTCATACTGTTGCCACCCAATGTTAGAGTCCTGCATTATATTTCAAGAAATTAAATAATGAAAAATTTCTCGCATTTGTGATAAAACAGCGGTACATAGAGCCATCGAATTTTGAATGACGTAATCCTCCTACGAATATGGGCATGTGAAAGACCAAATTTGAAATTTGGACTTTGTTTTATTATCTATTTCATATTTTGTAAAACTTTAACGTAAAAAACTCAAGGATTTCAAAGCGAGCCATGGCAACGTTCTACAGAAAAAAACATTTTTATCTCTAGCGCGTAAGTCTCTGTATCGGAAATTGTAAAGATATGCTCATTTTATAACTATTTTACGATATTGCTGTTGAATTAAATTTTATGGTTTAAGTGCGAACAACGTGATAGTTAATAAATAAATGTAACACACAAAATGTTAAAAAAAAACGCCCCTTTGTACGTCATTTAAAATCTGAAATGTTTCAGATTTTTTTAAATTGTATTCAGATTATTACTTTCCTAGAAACAAATTCAAATAACAGAATCTTCTATTTCAAAGTGTAATTTATTTTATAAAATTTTTCTAACAAAATATTCACAATTCATCTCTTTCTAAAATTTAAAAATACTTTAATTTTAGGTCAAAAGTCAAGCCACGCAGAGATCGAAAATATTGTTTTAAATCCAGGTCATTCTGTGAACATAAGCTGTTTCCCAAATGGCCAAAGTCATGTTTTCTGGACAACTAATGGAAGTATTTCCGGAATGATATTTTATGAAAGTAATGCTCTAGTCCTGTCAACTCAAGTCAAAGGTGTTCACATATGCTTCAGTTACAACTCACGGAAAGTCGTGGTTTTGAAGGCAGTGAGGGTTGTTATTTCCAATGAAGTATCGCCAGATCCAATTTCCAGGACCTGCGAATTTACGTTTAAGAACAAAACAACAAGTCTAACCTCTCGGACTGGAACAAAAGTAATTATATCATGTGATGTAGATTCCAGAACAGCAGTGACCTCATGGTTTAAAAATGGCAAAGAAATAACAGAAGAAAATAGGAGCCCACTGAAATCCTATTACGTTATACCTAATTTGCAGCTATCGGATGAGGGAAATTATACTTGCGTCGTATCTGAAAAATATTGTTCAAAAACAAAAAGTGTTGTAGTTAAAGTCCAAAACTCTAATGAAAGCTCTTTCAGTTACATGTGCGGTCAGCCCGTCGCTAATAATACTCGAAGAAATAAAAGAGTTATAGATGGCAGTCGAGCATCACCACTCTCCGCACCTTGGATGGGTATGCTGTCCATAGACCGTGAACCGCCTTTTTGTGGATGCACCTTGATATCAGATAGTTGGATTATCACAGCTGCTCATTGTTTCAAATCTGTAAACAATGGAGTCACAAGTGTGATGTCACCAGAAGAGATCCGTCGTAAGGTTCGTGTCAAGTTTGGTAAGCAGCAAAGAAGGCAAATTGAGAAAGACGAAGTCGTAAGAAGCATGAGGAACCTTATTATCCACCCAAAGTATAAACCTGTCTCCAGTCTCCAAAACGTTGCCATTGAACACGACATTGCTCTCGGCAAACTAAACGAACCTGTCACCTTTCAGCCAACTGTACTACCCATATGCCTACCCCCACTAGGATTCATGGCAAATTTGCCCTCTAATATCTTGGGAGTCGTTACTGGTTGGGGAAGAGTCAGCGTAAGAGACTCAGTCATGGCACTTACTCTTCAAGAAGCTTATTTACCTTTGGTAAATAATAGTTCATGCCAACAAAGTACCAATTACGTGATCACTGATAATATGCTGTGTGCAGGATATGCGGAGAGTTATAGACCAGATACTTGCTTTGGAGACAGTGGTGGTCCATTCGTGTTGCAAAAATCAGACAGTTGGTATTTGGCAGGTGTTGTCAGTTGGGGAGAAGGATGTTCGAGTCCAAAAAAATTTGGAATATACACGAAAGTTGAAAATTATGTACCGTGGATTCAATCCGTCCTCGTAGAAAATTCTTAGTCCATAATCTGAAGTAATATCTTACTATGCAGTTCTTTTGAGATCTGCATAGCACTTTGATACGCTACGTTATGCTTCATAATTGAAAACAAAACAGTTTTCACAATTATGAAGCTTTCTATCTGGAATGTTTTCTTAGCTTTTACTGCCATGTGATATTTAAATGCACTTTTTTAACTTTTGAGTGTGACGTAGAATCATTGTGACAGCTTTCATTTTTCTCCTTCAGTCAAACGAGGTTTCATTCCTACATGTTCAATTTTGTTATACTTTCTTTTTGCCGAATTAAAAAACTTGAGCAATTTTTTAAAATTTTTTACAAATTTTTAACATAATAACAATATTTTTACGTTTACTCCTATACAACTGCAGTATTTTGAAGAAAGGCATTAAAATACTATATAGTTTCTTAAAAAAATAATTTATTATAAGCACCTCAATAATACTACTGAGTGTTGCAATGTAATAATCATACATATTGTTAGAGGACTGCAATAGTCACCCAATAATGTGTGTGATTATTAAATTATAACATCTAATAACATATATTCAACTCAGATTCACTAAGCACGACTCTCTGGTTTAGCCATTTTGCCGAGTGAAAACAAGGAACAGGGTTCGTACACATTTCTGCACACGGAAATAAAGTACTTTTAAGGACCATTAATGATAAAAATTAAGCACTTGTGAGCAAATGGGAACTGAATAAATTCAATTAAAAATATTATATCTAGCCTGAACTTCACTTTTTAATACTTTCCTAAAAATAAAAGAGATTCATAAGTAGGATGCATTATTATTAAACATAGCTTAATTAATATAATTATTAATGCGTTTGAGAATAAAATCAATATTATGAAATTTATCAAGTATCATTAAATATTTTACACTTACAATAACTGGACATATTTGAAAGAAGATAAGTGACATTTGAGTTACGTTTTACTAACAGATATTTTTTTTATTTTTAATGTCTTTGTCACATACTTTCTCAATCTAGAGGTTTAGTAAATAGTAAGTAGATTTTATGTCAAGCAGCATGGGTTAAAATGAGCTTTAAAGTCATAATCAGCATGATTCATAACAAAAGACTGGCTGTTGTCACCGCTCCTGCTTGCCTACAGAGAGACCTGCTCATCAGAACAAACCTGAAAGGCCTGATGTAGGCACAGTTAAAGTAAGTTTTGAAAGTTAGCTGAGTTCTGTCTGACGCAGTTAATGTCGTAGCTTCGTGTAGAGTTCCAAGGGTTGTAACTCAGTTAATATACACTGGTTATCATAAATTAAGGAAAATCACAAGAATCACGATTACTGAAAAAGTTACATGTAGAATTTAATGAAACTTACCCACAATATACAATACATAGTAAGGTATCAAATAACATAAAAAGAAATTACCACACAAATATGGTAGTATAGAAATTAGCACATGTATAAAATGAACAAATCGAAGGTGTCAGTTTGCTATAGGAAAAGTACCTTCAATATGGAATATGATTGCCTCTAGAAGCAATACAAGCACATACAGCGATGTGTGATGCTTTCAGTTATGGGTTCTATCAGTTCCATAGGAAGCCAGAGCCATTGGCTCTTGCAAAAGCAGTTGCAAGCGCGACAAGGGTTTGAGGGGGAGGATTGAGAGCAGCTAAACGTCTTCTTAAAGCATCCCAAACGCGCTCGATAGGATTCAAGTCCGGGGATCGAGCTGACCACTCCATGCGCATAATTGTTTCCTGTTGAAGATAATTATCTACAATGCGAGCCCTGTGTGTCTTGCGTTGTCGTCCTGTAACAGGAAGCATCACCTATTGCCCCGGCATGGGCGCAATAAACATCAAGGATCTCATCTCTATAAATTGAGCATTCACGGTTCCCCTTGGAAAGCATGGATGTCTTGCGTCCACCCAAAGAAAAAACCCCCAAACCAGACTGCCCCTTCCGTTGATTTTTCACGGATGTTACGGATGATAACGGGTTCTAGGTTCTCTCCATATCAAATAACGCTACTGTCGCTTTCTAGCTAAACCTGGATTCATCCGTAAAGAGAACCCTCCGTTGATCAGTCTTCAGTGGGACATGTTGTCGTGCCGACTGAAAACGTCTCCTATGGCGCGACGTGAGCGGAACAAATGGTAGTCGCCTCGCTACAGACCACCTTCGTGAAGCCTCCTACGCACATTGACGTGACACGAAAGCTTCGGTGGCTGCACCAAGGGAGGATCTAAGAAGAGTCGGAGTAGCGGTTCTATTCCTGCGTGCACATAATGTAAAATATCGGTCATCGGCGCTCGTCGTAGCAATCGGCCGTCCTTGCCTGAACCTCCTAGGTGCCGAATCTGTTGTTTGAAATTGCCTCAAAAGTCTATGAACCACAGAAGGACTCCCATTTAGCCATCTGGCCACTTCTGTTTGTCTTTCTCCCAATGGCCTCTGTTTGACTAGTCTCCCAATGGCTCTCCATCCCAGTTCTGCTGGCAAATGATGCCTGGAGGTCATTGTTACGAATTGGCTATCTTAGATTTCTGATGTCACTGTCACAGTGAAATAAGTGGGCTTGCTCTCAAACATGGACTTTTTGCTCCTCCAATGAACGAATTCCGAAAGCAGCGCCACTAATTTGCATATCGCAGTTTTACTCAGTACCTCTTACTGACAACAATTTCAAATTTTACACTGTTTGGCTTATTTTTGAGGGGGTATCGCTGTTTTTGTGATTTTTCTTTTATGATAACCAAAGTACTTTAAGGTCTATTAAGCCACTAAAGCGATAGAAGTGATTAAGTTGTTTTTTTATTTTTAGTTTAAAGATGCAAAGAATAAGTTTTCATGAATTTTTATATTTTGTGTTTTACCTGTGATCACTGTAAAGGTTAATGAAAGGCAATAACTCACTTTAATATGCAAAGATAATTTTTAAGGGTAAGCACTTAGTTATAAGTAATTAAATTAGGTATTAGATTCATATGGATTTACATGGACACTATCAAATTAAATTTATTTTTTAATACTATTTGTTAAAAAAACCCTACTAATATCACAATCTAATAAAATTTCACAGTTTAAAATACATGCAATTTACAACATTGAATTTTAAACAATGTTAGGATAATTACACATTAAACATTTATATTTTGTAGAACAACTCAAAAATAATTATGAGTCTTTTTAAATTGAAGCCCTGCCCAGACATTTTGGCTAATTTATATCGATTTCCTTTCTCCCTTAGCATCTTTTCTAACAATTAGAAATTTTTCAATATGCAAAACATGTTTCTCATTAGTCTGCTGCTTTATCTCCTAACTGTCACCTTTCAACAAGTACTACCTATGAGGGTTTACTTGATCTGTAAAAGTTAAATAGTCCCCCCCCCGACAGACGTGAAACAATTGTGGCTATTTGAAAGTAACTATAATCAGAGGTTTAATAAGCTTCTTATTTAAAAAGAACTTTGAAAATAAGGCATGTTCTTATGCTAACAAAATCAATTATAGCTCATGGTGATGTAATTAAACAAGAAGAGTCAAATTCAAACTAAAATTGTGGACTAGTGGTCAAAGACAAGTGGTCAATTTAATTTCAATTTAATCTGGTTCAATAACTCATATATCGTTGTAATTAACTCAAATGTCAGCAGTGGTAATGGAAATTATCAGAGCTGATAGGAACTAATACAAGGAGCAAGCCGAGGTCAGAAATACACTCTTGTCTTACACTTCAAAAACCTCAGTTTAAAAACTGTCTCAGTGATATGCATTCTGGTGAGGAAATAGAAATGGGAAATTATAGTAAAGGCTGAAATGGTTAACAACTGGGTAATTTACATAATAATAACTACATATCTCAAGAAACGAACTAAATATATAAAAAGAAAGAAGAAGAATTTTCTTTCTTTTTATATATTTAGTTCGTTTCTTCAACACGTTTCCTTTTCATTATATGAAATACATATGGTAAAGTCCGGTCATAGAGCTGGTGAGGCATAATTTTTAGAATTTAGTGACACACCGAGCAACAAAATTTAGAAATGGCAAAACTTTCAGAATTTAGAGCAGGTATTGGAAGCAGAATTTAGAAAGGCACCAGGCAGCAGAATTTAGGATCCACAGAGACTGCATCAGGTGGCAAAATAGTGACACACCGAGCAACAAAATTTAGAAATGGCAAAACTTTTAGAATTTAGAGCAGGCATTGGAAGCAGAATTTACAAAGGCACCAGGCAGCAGAATTTAGGATCCACAGAGACTGCATCAGGTGGCAAAATGCCTAGCGCCAGCCCTGTGTATGATGCAACAAAATATATTAGATTAATTATTTGAATTATCAGTTTTCAAATTCTTTATTAATAAAAAAATTTCTTTCTATAATGCCTGTCCACATGATAAGATTAGAAGCATTTTTGATATGTCTAGTGAAAAGTAGAGAAAAAGAAAACTGATGCATATTCTGAGAAATGGGGAGAAACTTTTACCATTAAAAAAATAAAAAGACGTTTCTAATTAATTACATAGCTATTTTGCCTTTTGCTAAAAACTGTTTTGTAAATTGTGCTTTATAGCATTACACCTTGCTTACCTTTCAGATTCAAAACATTGTATAATATGTGGCCAAAATGCAACTTTATAATATGACAGGAAAAAATAAAAATGCTTTATTTTAATGTTATTTCTTAAATATAATTCCAATACATTGCCATTATTTTAAAGAAATTTATCAGTGTTAGAATGTTCTAAAAAAGTCGCCAAAAACTTCCCAGAGTTCGGAATTAAAAATTTTCCATAGAAACCGATCTTAAAATCGCGAAAATGTTGATAAGTCGCCAAATTTAGAACCATTTAATAAAAGAATTCACATCAGCAAAAGCGGAAAGTTTTTTAAGGTGTGTGTATTGAGAATACGGCAAAGCACATTAGGGCTATCTGCCTAAGGGGAGGGATGCCTTCGTGGAGTACTTTCTAATGGAAACTGGTTCGTATACACGTTACACATGGGGAAAACCACGAAAACGCCCTTGCAGCCACCTCGTTCGTGGGATTCGAACCTCGGACCGAACTACCAGTGTTCAGCTATTTTAAAAGTTGTTTAAGAGTTACAAAAAATGAAATAATTTCGAAATGCTCGTGTTTCACTTCTTGCTCAGAAAATCGAGTATCCCATTAGTTATATTACAAATAGGAACAAATTATAACCAATGAACCCATTCACTCATTCAAAAAATAACCATATTTATCAGTGAATCGCCAAAAATGTTGCTGCAAAATGCTAATTCATACTCAAAATGGCAGTCGTAAAAACAGACAAAAATTTCAGA